ATTTTTAGAATACTTTTGCTTTAAAATTATTAACAAATTTAAAAATATGGTGCCCTAAATTTTAAGGAGCCTTGTGCGGTTGGTCACTTTGCACACCCTCCGGGCCACCCATGAGGCAAAGCCTCAAATATATAGAGAATGCGTGTCTTTTTTCACTTTTTAAGCATATAAAGGGTGCGCTGGAGTTGCTCTAACCACAAAGATGAAAATCAATACGGAGTAATATGGTATACCAGAAGTGGCCCTCGTGTGAGTAGAGCACATTTATAATGCCACAATTATAACAAAAATGCTTTTGTCTGCCTCAAAAAAAAAATGCTTTTGTCGTTCTATAAAAAAGACTTCTAATTTAACTTGACACGAAATTTTTAAAAATAAAATTATACTCCCTCCATTTCATAAAACTCTTCCTCTTTCGTTTTTTTTGAATTCCCTAAACACTTCCACTTTCTATTAAAAAAAACTTTTACCCTTATTTTTTCATATCATACCTATCACACTATACTTTTTCACTAATAACAAAACTATCACATCTTACTTTTACCCATCACATTAGGGGCAAAATTGGAAAATCAACCAAAATTATACTTTCCTTATTTTTGTCCAAAGTCAAAAGTAGAAGGGTTTAAAGAAACTGAGGGAGTATTATTGTAAGTGATGCATATGAGAGAAAGATTGTGAGCCGCAGAAAATATATTAAAATGAAAAGAAAAATATTTTTTAAAACGCGGTTTAGAAAGAATTGAAGTGCCTTTTTTGGACAAATGAAATATGAAACTACTCCAAAAAAATGTCTCACTAACATTATGTTTGGTTCTTTATCTGCATTGTAATATAATTTAATATATTTTTTGTTTGTAAAAAAACAATATGTTTGAATTTCGGAATAAAAGGAAATGAAAATAAATACTCGTATATTTCTCTCATTTTCCTTAGCTTTTCTTCTTCTCTTAATTTTTTTTTTCTTGCGGAGTTTTTTTTACGTATAACAAAACAAGAAAAATGGTTTCTCGTAGATTTATTAACTTTTGATTTGGTCTGAAATATTAAGCTTCAAACCATTAACCCATGGTTTTACTTGGTAATCCAATAATTAATTAATTTGTAGAAGTTAAATTATTTTTATATTTTAAAAATATAAAATTGATAGGGAAAGCTTTCACTGATGTTTTAGCTTTTCTTAGACAAGATTATTAACTTCCTTAGACAAAATTAGTGGCGAAAATTATGAATTGCAAACGGATTAATTAGAAAACGACGGAGAAATCAAATTGAAGAGTGTTTTAAAAAACTCCGTAGGACTTATGACTGGTATGATAAGCACTGTGGTGGAGCTGTTGTTATCTGTGTATTAAAAAAACTTAAACCCGTGGAAACCAACAAATCAGAGTGGCGCAGCGGAAGCGTGGTGGGCCCATAACCCACAGGTCCCAGGATCGAAACCTGGCTCTGATATTTTCAATTTCTATTTTTCCACACTTTTTTTTCACACTTTATTCATCTCGTCGTTTTGTTTTTGACGTTTCAATTTAAACAAATACTCCATGAACTTGATTTGCAAGCCTGAATTTAGATTCCTCTGTTGAATTTTTATTTGCATCACTTTTGATTTTAAAAAACCACACAATCATGTAATTTTTATTTCACCTTATGCACACTTTTGTGCATCGAAGTAGGTATGTTCATCTGGTCAAACCCGGACCGGCCCGGACCGGTACCGAATAAGAGGCATTTTGTAGACTGAGGATCGGACGGATTAAGTACAAACTTAAGATGTAGTATTGATGCATAAACTTGAAGAGACCGATTCCGTAGCCACTGGATTTCAGTGGCCATGGAAGCCAATTTCCCCTTATGGAGCTCCGTTCATGAAATTGATGATTCTTACCCCCTAACTCCCCCGGTAAACCCCCCCGCCAAGTATTGACCCAAACTACCCCCCACCTACACCAATTGCATCTCGTAAATATAATTGACTTTAAAGTCAAAATTTTGACTGTATACTTACATTTGAATGTGAAGGAGCGAAGGAGTCCTCAGGTATGTTATATTTGAATGTGATAGAACTTTCATACTTGTTCTCATTTTAGATACTAACGTCTTATCCAATTTATACTTTTATTTTATTTATTATTTTTTTTCTATTTTTATTAATAAAAAATATATAGTTGTATTAATTTACATAAATTTTGAATTAAAAATGACGAATATTGTATAAACAAATGGAGAGACAAGTTTTTGGGACGATACCATTACAAAATATTAGGACATGACAGTAAAATTAGTACAGTAGAATACTGATGTGGCAAGAGTTATAAAAATCCTACATCCTCCTAAACAACTTTGATTAATCTTGATAAATAGGACCCTAGAGATGAGTGGGGTTGGTTGATCATCATTATCTTCCCCATTTTGAGAAAATAAATGGTGGGTCATTGAAAGAAAAAAAAAGAAGAATTAAGTTAGGGGTACACCAACATGAGGTATTCCAAGTGTACACCAAAGTCAACACAGACACACACAGACACAAAGTGTCTGTGTTGCACAGACATTTTGTGTCTGTGTTGGGTTAGTGTACATTTGGGGTACCTAATATTGGTGTACTTTTAGCATTGCCCAAAAAAAAGGTAGGGGAGATAGAAATGCATGAGTGAAAGGGTGAAATGGAAAGGAGTGAATGGTGCAGGGGGGAGGGGGTGGTAGGACTAGCCATGTTGGGTTTTGGGGTTAGCAAAAGAATAAAGTGGGAACTGATACTATCGTTGTTTTGCTGTTTGCTGGAGAATCTATTCTGACCTCTTTGCTGTCTCCCTCCTGACAAACCACACACCACTCCCTCCCCCTCACTTTTCCCTTTTCCTTTTTTTCTCCTCCACACCCCATTTCTTTTTCTTTTCAACTTTATTCTAATCTAAAAACCCCCTCATTATTTTACTTTCACATACAGCATTTAATAAAAATATCAAAATGAAAAAAAAATAAAAATCAAAATTGGAAAACATATTTTTTCATTCAATAGAAATTAAATGACATGTAAAAAAAAATCAACCTTCAAACATTATTCTAAAAAACGGAAACATATTTTTGAGACGCTGAGAGTATTATAGTCTTCATTCGTCTGGTCTAAAAATTATCTTTCCAATTTGAGATAATATGAATATTAATCGGAAATTATCCTTGAAGGGCCAAAAATTTGTAGTCTAAAGGCGTAATTATATTAGTGCTAAATAATTCCCTCGTTTTTGACTTGGTTAATTGCGTAGAAAAGTAATTAAATTAAAGATGACCGCTATTATCGGAACTAATACAAATTTGAAAACAAACACTGACATTTCCATTTTAATTCTTACTCATATACTCCCTCCCAACCAAAATTCCTGTCTCACTTCGAATTAAATTCAAAATCACTTCTTTTTTTAAAAAAAATTATTTTTTTTGCAAATTAGTTTTACATGAAAAAATTACAAATTACTTATTTTATGACTGTATAAAAAGAATTTAACAAAAGTTATAAAAAGACTAAAATAATCACTGAAACGATTTTTTGGAAGAAAGAAGTATATTAATACTCCATAAATTTTAATTACTAACAGTTTTTTTCACAATAAACAGTTCATAATATAAAAATAGAATTCTGTAAAAAAATATTTTAACAAAACTATAAGATTTATAGGGAGTAGTTTTATTAAAAAAATCAACTTTAGATTATCAATAACTTTTTTAACAAAACTATAAGATTTATAGGGAGTAGTTTTATTAAAAAAATCAACTTTAGATTATCAATAACTTTTTTAGCACTTTTGACTAAAGAAGTCAATGGTAGAAAGTTCAAATCCGAAAGGAGTGTGTTGATAAAAGCAAAACAAAATCAAAATACTCTATCTTCAACAATAATGTTTTCGTTCACTATTTACAGTGTCTAATTTTATTCATTATTTTCATTGCCCATATAATAAAAGAATATACTCATATATATCACCTCTACCGAGAATACATTCAGATCTTTTCATGTAGTTTTTAAATATTTAATTTTTAATTTATAATTCCATATAATTTTTCATATAAAATGATTTGAAAATTAGTTCAGTCAAACATCGTAACACGCCACCAAGAATATTGAGGATAATCACGATTTTCAAAGTCGGATTATTTCTTCCATTAGATTAACTTTTTGAAATAAAATTATTACTCTTTATATTCTCTCCGTCTCAAAATATTTGTTCATTTTTTTACTTTCTTTTGTTAAAATTGTTAAATTTTAACTCTAAACTAAATAAAAATGATATTAGATATTGATATAAAAATGATTTTATTAGATTTATTATGTAAGATGGTTTCGAAATATTATTTTACCTAATTAATATATAATAGGAGTAATTTATTTAATTATATGTTAAATGTTAAAAGTGATTGACTGAAAAAAGTAAAAACATGACAAATAATCTGTGACAGAAGTAGCAATATGTAATATTTCCTATATTCCAAAATAAATTTCTCAGTTAGTTTGAAATAAATGATAAAAATAAAATATTTTGAACATGATAAAAATTTATTTAGAAGAAAGATAAATGATATGAGCCACACATACCTTTTCTTGAATTCAGATAAGGAATAGATTAACCTAATAACAGCAACAACAAACTCAATGTAAATTTCAAAAACTCAATGTAAATTTCAAAAGTATGAAAAAACATGTGATTTAAACATCATTCAATAATATTCAAAAAAAATGTTTTTTTGAATTTCCTCATCCAAAAATATGTTTTGAACACTCCTAACATTTTTCCACCAGCCAAACACACCTTACACACCTTAAGAGGCTGGTTAAAATATCATTAATTTTTTTAAGAGGCTGGTTTAATTTAAATACCATTAATTTTTTTTATGGGTCTTCTAACTTAATTACCAAAAGCAAAACTAGACATGCAGTACCAGTCTAGGAATTAAACAACAGAGGAATTAATAATAATTATAATTATAATTATAATAATTAGTAACAAAGAAAATAAATTAAGGGGAAAAAAAAGAGAAGAAGAATATGAACTATGGGGGGCAGGAGGAGGGATCGGATCTGTCGAAATGGAGAAGCTGACCGAAACATTTCGGGCAGGATTTCACCTCTTTGGGCACCATGAAATACATCAAGCAACTCTGGCAACCCGCCACCACCAGAACCGCCGCCGTCGAGTTTTCCGGCCGCCCCAGGCGGTGGGCATCCTTTAAAATCGCTGACTCCTCCGATGACGACGACGAGGACCCACTCTCCCCGTCGCTCACGTCATCTTCGTCGTCATCATCTTCTTCATAATCTTCTTCTTCATCATCATCATCTACTGCTGTGATTCTTGGGTCCTCTTTCACTCTCTTTCCCGTTCTCCAGTTTATGTAATATACTTCCCCTGTCTAAATTGTACAAATAAATGTTCATATTAAGGAATTTAAACATGAAACTTCTCTTTTTTGGGTAATTAAATCAAATTAAAAAATGGGTTTCATCTCCATTTTCTCCACTTTTTTTAGCAATCTAAGCTTGTAGATCTTTAGGCAGGGGAAAAAAGCTAGAAAAAACACAAATAAATCCGATTCGGTTCCACAAATTTGGAAGCAATTAATGCAATGAAGAGGGGAGAGAAAAAACAGAATTAATTAATTCATTAATGAGAGTGATAGTAAATCTGGGTTGAATTCAGATTTACATTTACTGCATTAAAGAACAATGATTAATTAATTAATTAATTAATTAATTACCTCCAAATCAAGGCATTGCTCCCAATGATAAGGCATGGAGATTTGGGAATTGAGTTCCAGAGTGGCATCCCCTGCTGCAGGATATGTGTTCGCCGGCGGCGGCGGCGGAGGGTGGGAGACGGAGGGAGGCCGGCCGAGGGCCGCGGCTGCTCCGGCGGCGGCGCAACCACTGTCCCGGCGGTGGCAGTTCAAGGAACAGTTTTGAAAAGATCTCTCTAAGGAAGCTGTTATGGTGCCCATGTCTGGACCTGCCATTCTGTTTTTCTAAATTGTAATCTCACCAACCCTTTTATGAGAATTGTGCTCTCATTATGCCCCCCCAAAACGCCCTTTTCTTAATTTTATTTTATTATCTCGAGTATAAAACATGCATCCGGTAAAATACAGACTAATTCTATTTTATTTTATTTGTTTTTAATTGTTCCGTTCATTTTTCGAGTCTAATGTTTAATCAACTACATATCTTAAATTATACTCTCTTCATCTCAAAATGTTTGTCACCTTACGCACAACAAAACAAAATTTTGAGTTTTTTTGGTTCATTTAATTTTACTTAATGTTTGATATAAAAATAAAAAAATAAATTCTACATAATTAAAAATTACGTGAAAATTTTTGTAAAAAAAATATGTTATTGATCAATGAAAATGTACAAAAAAACAAAAGTCATCGCGATTTTTGAAAAGTAAATTGTGGCTTTCTTTATTGGACGGAGAATAGGGACTAGATTTTTGAAAAGTAAATTGTGGCTTTCTTTACTTTTACTTTATTCTTTTTCCCAAAATTAATAGGCTACTAAAAATGGTATGTCTATAACAACAACAACCTAGTTAGATCAACGAGAGTAAGGACTAGAGAGGATGTGTGTATGCAAATCTTGCCCCTACGGTGTATTATGGGGCAAACATATACTCCCTCCGTTCCACAAAACTCTTCCTCTTTCGTTTTTTTGCTTTTCACAAAACACTTTCATTTTCTATTAAAAACCCACTCTTACCTCTACTTTTTCATACCCTACCTATGACATCATACTTTTTCACTAATAACCAAACTATCACATCTTACTTTTTCCCATCACATTAGGGGTAAAATTGAAAAGTCAACTAAAATACATTTTCCTTATTTTTCTCCATAGTCAATACCGGAATGGTTTTTGTGGAACGGAGAGAGTATTAGATATAAATTTTTATATTTAAATTCACATATATTCATTAACATATCGAATTGAATACATATACATTCGTATTCGTATTTGTTTTCTTTCGAATTCTAATAAATATTTATATTTGTATTTGTATTCATTTTTTCGAATACGAATAATTGAATTCAAATACGAATCACGAATCGAATTAAAATTATTCGTTCGTTTTACAACCCTAGCATTAGATAGTACTTACACCAAAATGAACAACCTTAACACACCAAATTGTATAACTTTATTCATTAATTACATTATAAGGACAACATATACCCACATATATATTACACATAAACCATTATATTATATGGAGTATATTATAAGGCCAATATATACGGAGTATTACACATAAACCATTATGGAGTACTCCGTATATTATAAGGCCAATATATAATTCGAATACGAATCACGAATCGAATTAAAATTATCCATTCGTTTTACAACCCTAGCATTGGATACTACTTACACCAAAATGAACAACCTTAACACACCAAATTGTATAACTTCATTCATTAATTACATTATAAGGACAACATATACCCACATGGCCACATATATACGGAGTATTATGATACGGGATTAATTATTATTATTATTATTATTATTATTATTACTATTATTAATGGTTAGTGGTTATTATTATTATATTAGGTAGTATTATTATTTATGGTTAGTTAATTATATTATTATTAGAAAGTAATATTCTATTGTTAGGATATTTGTTACCATTTATTATTAGGATTCCTAGATTATTTAGTTTCCTTCTATGGTAAGGATTCTTTAGATGTCCTAGCTATAAATGTATCCATTTCAATGAATTATTTATCATTGAATAAAGAAATTACTTTCTCCTAAACCTTAATCTCTCTCTTTCTCGCCTCTTTTGTTCTTGGAGCTCGAAGGTGCTCGAAATTCTTCCCTATCCCGATACGATACCGTATCAATTGGTGCTTTCATTCTTGAACTCACCCAAAAAATACAAAAAAAAATCTAGAGCACACGCAATGGATTCTCTATTGGACAAAGTTCTTGGTTTACTCGAAAAAGTTCTACGGGGACCAATTGAATTTTATGAAGGCGTGGGTGCAGTTGAAGATTCCGTGGATGAAATTATAAAGAAACTTCGGGCATTCTGTCCAATTGAAGGTCAACCAAAATTTGATTTCGAGGTATATGCGTTCTCCGTAGAGGCCTTTTGCTCAATACAAGATTTAGTTCGTGGTCCCCCAATTCTACCAAGTTTGATCCCGATAGAGTTATACATCTTCAGAAAAAACATGATGAACGCAATAAGGGGACTCATCGGTGCTCCTCTTTCTCCACCAAATTTAGCCCCTAAGGCTGGAGACATGATTGTTCAGTTAGTGGAAAACACAGCCGCACACACAGGTCCTCTTGTGGAAAATTTAAGCGATGAACCACATGTCGAAGATGACAAGAAAAGTGGGTCCAATATCATGAATACCAATAAGTCACTCACGATGAAGGGGGAAATTGTTGTTCATCGGGTAGGTNCCATCAAGGCCGCGAGGAAGTTTTTGGGGACATTCTAATTGTTTATGGATGCACAGAAAGCTTTAGAACTCCTGATGCTGAGGTTATTGTTATCTGTAAATCAAGAAGTATTGCACCCGGTTGCATTATTTTCATCGAGTTGGTCGCATGCAATTATTTAACTAGTGTTGGAGATGTTGTAGGTCCAACACGTTCTTTTGATACTCCAATAACGAAGGTGTTTGACCCCGGAGGATGGACGATGCATGACACACTTTTTCCCCGTTCTTTGTTGAATTTCCAACTTGAGGACAAGTTGGTTTTTGAGGCGGGGAGAGTGATACGGGATTTATTATTATTATTATTATTATTATTATTATTACTATTATTAATGGTTAGTGGTTATTATTATTATATTAGGTAGTATTATTATTTATGGTTAGTTAATTATATTATTATTAGAAAGTAATATTCTATTGTTAGGATATTTGTTACCATTTATTATTAGGATTCCTAGATTATTTAGTTTCCTTCTATGGTAAGGATTCTTTAGATGTCCTAGCTATAAATGTATCCATTTCAATGAATTATTTATCATTGAATAAAAAAATTACTTTCTCCTAAACCTTAATCTCTCTCTTTCTCGCCTCTTTTGTTCTTGGAGCTCGAAGGTGCTCGAAATCCTTCCCTATCCCGATACGATACCGTATCATATTACACATAAACCATTATGGAGTACTCCGTATATTATAAGGCCAATATATAATACTGTATTAGAATTAAGGGCGGAATTGTTGAGTACTCTTGAGGTAAGATACCGCTTCTTCAGCATTGTGGCAACAGTACTTGCACCCTCCCCACCTATTGTAGTGTCCACAACAACCGTGGTGGCATCCTCCGCCACCACCGCCGCCCCAGCTTCCGCCGCCTCCTCCGCCCCAGCTTCCGCCGCCTCCGCCAGGTCCTCCCCAACCCCGGCCGCCGTACCCGCCCTTCCCGCCCCAACCGTAGCTGTATCCGCCGCTTCCTCCCGAGCCGTACCCGTAGCCGCCGCCGCCGTCCCTCTCGGTTGTCATTTGGTTTGGTTCGGCGTCCACAAATTCCCCTTTCACATTTTCTATTACAAATATTGTACAAGTATGAGTATGTCCAAAAAAAAAATGAAACATGAACACTTCAAATTCTACCCCGCCCTCATGTGTCAAATACTTTAAATATTACGGAGTATCTATGTTCCACAAAATCTTATACTCCATAATCATTACAAAAAAAAAAAAGAAATAAGTAAAATAAGTATAAAATCTTTTTAGAAACCTCTTTAAGAAAATGGATAAAATGTTTTGGGACGAAAGGAATATTTTATGTAGGATTAATACAAAAATATCAAAAGGATGAAGAAAAAGCGAGAAATCTAAATAGGACTTCGTCTTGAAATTTGAGTATTTTTTTACGATATAAATGTAATATTTTGATCATTAATATATATACGAGTACATATTATGAAATTATGATAGTTCAAAATTATATTTCAAAATAAATCTAATGATATTAAATACGGAGTGTATATTATAACAAATAATATGGATCGGAATTAAAGGATTGAAAAAAAAAATATTTTTTTCCTTAGTTACATACTCTTATTATCATCTTGAGATGGATCAGCAGAGAGAGCTGATGAGGTGAAAAGAAGTGCACCAACAAAAACAAAAACACAAATTCCAGAAATGGACTTCATTTTTATTTAATCAAATCCCTTTGCTTTTAATTGATTTGTTGTGAGGATTGAGGAAGGGGTAGTGGTGGTATTTATACACAAAAGAATTATTCTAAAAAAGAGAAAAAGACAAATGCATTGAAGATTAATTAATTATAGAAGGGGTATTATATAGTTTGTTGGTTAGATGGGGGTGTTGGGTTGAGGTTAGATCGTCTTCTTCTCTTGCTGATTTTATTTCCATCACCATATTATCCTCCTCCTATGTATTTTTTTGTTTCTCAGTTTGATTTTCTTGTCAAACACTAATGAAGTAAAGTTTAGATAATGATAAAGTAAAGTTTAGATAAAATTCTTAAAATAATACTCCATCATTAACTATGTATTTCTAAAATTAGTCTCCAAAATTAATTCAAAAATGGTCCTTTCAATTGGATATTTTCCCAAATTAATCTTTTTTTGAAATAAAAATGCATTAAATTTAGAAGAATAATTTAAAATGTTATAGGATGAGAATTTAAAAAGTTTAAATGTTATATTTTGATCATTTCTAAATTTAATAAATGTTATAAGTTGAGAATTTAAATTTATTAAATTGACGGGGGTAGGGGGTGCGTTCGGGTCAGGGTGGGGGGTTTACCGGGGGAGTTAGGAGGGCTAGGAACCGTCAATTTTATGAATGGGATTATGCTAAGAAGATTAACTGTGAAGCTTTTCCCTTTTGCTTTGCTAAACCACTGCAAAAGGTATTGGTGTATTTTGAGATTAGTGTTGATTTTGGGCCCCTCGATTTGGATAAAGTGGCTCCAAACTTCTTTGGCAACTGGGCATATATATATATATATATATATATATATATATATATATATATATATATATATATATATATATATATATATATATATATATATATAGGCTAAAGAAAGAAAAAACAGATTTGCACTTCTTTGTAAAGGCATTGTAGAAAATCTCATAAATTAAACTAATAAATTACCATCCATCCATCGATACTTGATACATAATTGGGAGTAATTAAAGTTACTACAGCACATGTATGCGTATGAGTAGAACATAAATATATAATATGCACTCCATATTTTATTTTCAGAATTGGTCGTGATCTTCATGCTTCTTCGTCATCCTCCTCCTCCTCCTCCTCCTCCTCAACTTGGACGCGCGGAACTTTGTCATCAACGATGTTAAATCCCTCGAGAAGGTTGTCGTTAAGATCAAGAATATCCAGTGCTAGCGGATCAAAATGCAGTAGCGGCGGACCCCGATCCTGCCTGCAATTCGGACAATTAAAAGCCCTTGTTGAAGTTTTGGGGAGACAGTGCATAGACCATTCATCCAAGCATGGCGTGTGAAGTGGTTTGGATCATATAGGGCAGTTGAAGATATCCTCATCCTCTAGCACTCTCCGGTAACATATTGCGCAAGTTTCGTTCGCCATGGTGTATGTGGCAGCTACTGGCTAGTACGTAATTGTGTGCTCTTGCGGCCGAATTACTTACAGATCTGGTTTTTCTTTCTAAATGCTAAAGAGGAAAGGGATAAAAGAACATTCTGGCCAAAAAATAGATTCATTTTATGACCAACCAATACAGTCAAAGCACATGCAAGCAATATAATTTCTTATGCATGCATACCAAGATCTTAAGCATCAGAACATTCAAGGTTTTCAGAAGCTGACAGCCATCATCCATTCGGTAAACTCTATCATCCAAAAGCCAGAGAAGAAGCTCCCTAATGAGAACCATAAAGGTGCTCTCTTTGGCAGCATGAGCAAGATTTCTGTTTTGAAAAGTCTGCAAAAAAATCATTGCAAAAAAATCATAAGAGCAAAATCATAAAGATACAAGCATAAATCCAGAACAATGGGAACTCCGTGTCTTCTGATCTTGAAACCTCTGAAAGAAATGGGAATTTAGTGCAAGTTTTAAAAAACTTGCCTGCATAAGTGTATTGAGAACATATTTACAGGACCTCGACGAGTCACCCGTCAAACTAAATTTAAATGTTTCGGAAACCTGTAGCATTATCCAGTCAGATGCAACACCACATTAATGATGAAATAGGAAGGTAGCACATTTAAGTAAACTATCATTACATAGTTTCTTGCCTTATTTGCTAAGCACGATACAAGTTTATCAGCATCTTTTAAAATTTGTTCCCTTACATTGCCTTCAGGGTCCCCCATTGCTCGCCCCAACTCATAGGATACAACTTTCATTCCTTCTATTGACCACACAACAGCAAAGAATTCCCCAAAAAATCACTTGTTACTTTTGAAACATGTATTACTAACATCATGGAATGTGAAATTTCCATACACACCAGCTATATTTACATATATTCCAAGTAATAAACCTTCAACTTTAAAAAATATGCATCTCAATTCTTAACAAAAAATATTCTATGCTCTAAAAATAAAGATAAGGTGAGTAAACTACTAAACTACATGAAAAAATTTAAATATATTCAAATTTATATAAGAAGTTCTACAGAAAGTGAAAAAATAAATTCAGTTATATAAGAAGTTCAAAGGGATAGCGGCGCAGCTTGTTGCACGTTTGCCTTCCATTTCGATGTATAAGGCTATCACTATATGTGCTTTCTTTTTTTAAGATCTAACATTGTTGAAATAGGACTCATGGCTTGTTCTCTTTGTCGGATTTAAATTGACCTTATATAATTTTAGTTAAGCCAAAGTTGCCACGGCGCCAGTGTAGGAGACCGCCTAGGCGACAAGTAATAAATGAGAATTTATGTCCATTAGTAACAATAATACTCCCTTTGTCTCACTTGATTCTTTGCAATTACTATTCATATGGTCAAACCTTGTGTGGGAAGACAAGGTTGGATAGGATTTCGAACGAAGTTATCCGACGTTAAGTAGGCATGGCGCCGGTGGAAGATAAGTTGCGAAAGCGAGGTTGAGATGTGAGACGGTGGATTGCTGACGCCCCTGTACGGAGATGCAAGAGGATTACGGTTATCGGGGGAAGTAGGGGAAGGGGTAGACCTAGGAAGAATTGGAAGGAGGTGATTAGGCAGGATTTAGGACTTCTCACCTATTTTATCTCATCAAATGATCAATGAAAACACATAGTAAATGAAAGTTATCGAGGGAGTATAAATTTAATTTGGAATGCACCAAGTGGGAGAGGAGTCATATTTTTATAATGCATCTATGAAAGACTTTGCCTTTAAAAAACACCTTAATGAGACACTAAACAAGGTTTTATTAGATAATACACCATTGAATGAATCACATAAGAGGGCCCCTCATGGTATAGTAACCTAGTATGCTAGAATAAGGTGAAAATATAAAATAATGTGGAGTGTTACACGTCATCAAGCATTTTATGCTTATTCAATGGCTTCCACAATTTAATTTTTAATATCCTTAACGTTATGTGCACGGGTAACAAGATATGTAGTGCTTTTTCTAAAACCAATGAACAAGATTTTATTAGATAAAACATCATTGAATGAATCATATAAGGGCCCCTTGTGATATAGTAACCTAGTATGCTAGAATAATATGAAATAATTTGGAGCGTTAGACATCACCATGCATTTTAGTATGTGAATAAATTGCTTCCACTATTTAATATTTTGATATCCTTAAGGTTGTGGCGTGGGTACCAAGACCTTTTAATCAAATATAATATACTCCGCAATAAGATCAGAATGAGGGATAAACCCAGCAAATCAAGCGCTATGCACCGTGCAGTGATGGAGGAAAATATGTATCCTTCCCCTGACAATTTTAGTCAAGAGGCTAGATCCACAGGGGTAGTTCAAAACTAAAGACCTTTTGGTCACCAGAGGAGCTCAGCAGTAGGACCAACTACCAATGCTCAGTCTCAACATGCCAACAATATCGCATTGTTAAATAGAGTATCATCGTGCATGTAGAGATAAATTGTGAAGGAACATTAAACATTGGCAATTAGTATTCAGCATAGATTTGAAAGTGACTATTTTGGAACAAATATTCTTCTCTTAAGTATAAGAATCAGACTGCACATCAGATTAAAGTAAACCTGTTCGGGAGAACCATATGCTATTGTATCCAGAGCTTCATTCCAGTCTGTGGAACAATTAGATCCAGAAATTGCAAAATGTATTAAATGTCTCTTGGTGGGAAGTTCAGATTGGTTGTAATTCTATCTGACAAAAAATAGGGAAAATAAATTAATAGAAATATATAATCAAGCCATAACAGTCAAAACAGCTGGAGGAAAGGTTCCGTCTTCAACCTGTTTAATATTGGGCTGGCGATGGACCTAGAAACTTCACCACTTTCCTCCGCCAAATCTGACCTAAATGCCCAAATAACAAGCTGGGGTCAGTTATTAAACATTACAAAACAAAATCTTCCCATGCAAAATAAAAGCATTGTAGAGCAAAATTTTATTTTCGAAATAGTAAAAAGTATCTGCGTGATCAATGATCTGTTTACAGGGCACCACTATTTTGACACCTTTACATACCCAATATCTCACACAGATCGCCTCAAAGCAGCCCTAGATTCACCTGGTTTCCCCTCCCTCCACCTTTCCATCTCACGAGCCTGAATATATTCACAAATTGATACAGTAAGTGTAAAAAAAGCAATACGGGCCACTTGACGCACATCAGCACATGGATGAAAAGTAGATACAGCGATTATTAACCTTCCACTTAAATCTATCATCTAACATGCTACTCTGAGCCTCTGTTAGCTTTCCAACATATCTCCAGATGTCATCACCTGAAACATTTTTAAAGCAAAATTTAGAATAACTAAAAACTGGAAGGCTCCAAAAACAAATGTTAGGCAACTAGTAGGCTTCCCAGTTAGAAACAAGAATGAAAAAACTACAAGAGAACTCCTGAGTAATAAATAACTAAATCCTGGAGACCGAATGAAGGAAATCTCTCAAAATTTTATAACAATTATACATAGAATACAGAATCGGAGCATACCCAATAATTTTTAACCGAGAGCTAGAGTATTTAATGCAGCCTTTCGAAGTTCACCATTCCACTCTAAAGTTAAACTACCCACAGTTTGCAAAGATTTTAACTGTCCAACAATCTGCCAGTGGAATGTGGGTGTTACTAAAACAAGAAAAGATGGACATCGATCCAGTCACAAAAAGAAGAAATTCAGTTTGAAATCGTGACTCTGTTCCATGGTTATCTAGTAAGAAGCCAATAAGATCAACACACTCTATCCTTGTACGACTGTTTCTGGATCGCATTATATTGTGACCAGACTGTTGCAATATATATATATATATATATATATATATATATATATAGTGGTTCCCCCTGTAGAGATGGTCACAGGGTTGATAGGCGAACCACACCACCCGGGTTCGATGGGGCAACTTTGGGGGAATTTTAAGGGAGTTAAGCGTGCTGGTCATGGAGTAGTAGAAATGATGGGTGACCCCCTGGGAAGTGTTTGCAGATTTATGGGGTTGGGCTTTAGATTGGGCTTTCATTGGGCTTCTTATAGTAGGCTATCTGCCTCGGGTGTTTAACGGGCCCCGGGCGGTCACGAGGTTAACGGGCCTCAGGCCCCCTGCTTGTAACCGACCGTTCTAATAATATTAATAAAAAATTTAAATATATATATATATATATATATATATATATATATAATTGTCAGTCGGGCGGTCACGAGGTTAACGGGCCTCAGGCCCCCTGCTTGTAACCGACCGTTCTAATAATATTAATAAAAAATTTATATATATATATATATATATATATATATATATATATATATATATATATAATTGTCAGTCAGATTAACATTTTATATGGTTAAATAAAGACCAAACAGGCCACCACACGACCAAAGAGCAACTGCTACCTTTTCAACCAAGCATGGAAGAAAAATGGCTGCTTCAGCTTCTGTCATGGTGCAGCCTTCATTCCTCAGCATATCAAAAAGCTCAGGAAGGCACTCAAGAACCTTATAAAATTAGCAAGGAGATTCATTGTGAAATATATAACAAGTACTGCAAAATCAAGCTAAGAACAGCACACAATAATTTAGAGGTGAGGAAACAAGAGAAGCAAGTAATTAACATTGCGATGAAACTTGTAATTGCAAAAAACAATCTTCAATATGCATGCAGTGTTGGATTCACAGAATCTCAAGACAAACCACCTTAAGAGTATGTCAAGAACTTCAATTATTTCCTTTCTTGAAGATGGCAGCCCCTGAAAGTTTTGGGAAAAAACATTTAAATAAAACTACCCATTTATCCCAGGAATGAATGGCTGCAATCTAAAGCACCTTTTGTAACATTTCAATCCCATCAACTTGCTTCTTGAAGTCGGAGCTTAAAAGCCTCCTGTGAAAATCTTCTCTGAAGAACTTCGTCATATGACTCTGTAAAAAAAATTGTACTCCTTAAAATACAAAACAGAGATATCAATGATGCAAAGTAATCCAGTAAACTTTAAAGACCTCAAGATCTTGAATCTATTCAAGACGTGGCTCCTCAATCTTAAATTTGCGAATTACAGTTCTCTCTCTCTCTCATCCTGTAATTATATCAAGATAGCCAATCCTGAGTCATTCATAGATTACAGATATCCTGAATTCAATTACAGAAAATACACCTTGTTAGAGTCCTTAATACGGAGTATTTATCAAAGCTTGTGACTGTATACCGATCCCCTGGGAAGACATGAGGGACTCCTGCCTCGAACTCTTCACACGAAAAACTTTCTGAGTAACAGCAAATTGTTAAGCATCTGTGTCTGTAAATCGACAAACACCAGTAAAAATACAAACACCAACATGTACTGAACAACCCACTCTGTCTTCAAAGTGAGGCGTAGCGGCATTGGATTTTCCCAACATTGGGTTGTTTTTGGTCGAGAGCACAGTTGTTATTGTTTTGCCTAATTCAACCGAACCTGAATAGAGACAATCAATTCTAATGTCAACAAAAAGAAATGTGGACCCCACAGCCCACGCACACACACAGACACACACACACATAGAGAGAGAGAGAAAGAGAGAGACCTTGTAAGCCCCCATCCGGTCTTAGCCGTTCAATGACGATGGCTAAAGAATTTCCCTGAATATGTCTCAAGTGCTTAGTAACCCACAAAAGTAGAAGACAATTTAATAATAAACACACACACACACACAATAACACACACATACACAGCTGCTTTATATATATATATATATATATATATATATATACACATACATACATACATGCATGCATGCATGCATGCATGCATGCATACATACATACATACATACATACATACATACATACATACATACTCCTGTTTGTGTTTGTGTTTGTGTGTGTGTGTGTCTATATATATATATATATATATATATATATATATATATATATATATAGACACACACACACACACACACAAACAGGAGTAAAATAAATTTTGCAACAAATATACCATCTCTTGTCCGCAAATTCTCAGAATTTAGCCAAATAAAATATTTGGCTGCTTTCCGAACATCAGCTAATTTATCCTATTATAAAAAAAATAACATAACATTTTAAAGCTTTAAAACATTGAGTAAAAGCTAAATGAATGCAAAAAATAGTACAAAAGTAAAATATATGCAGGGAAACTAGGAAAGTAAAGGATACCATCATAGCAGAAGCAGCAGGTTTTAGAAAAAAAAGTGCCTCAGGAAATTCTTTCATTGCTTTAAGCTGTTTGGAAGACCAATCAAAAAGATCTTTACGCCCGTCCGCACAAATTTTAGCATCCGTCAATGAAGCCGTAATATACGGTACCTAGAAAAAACACCATTTGTCAAATTGGTGACAAATTAATATCACAATAAAAGTACAGGAAATATTGGGAATAGTGCAATAACCATTTTCTCTAGATGAATAGCAGCTACCCAAGCATCAAGTGTGTTCAAAGCACACTCTCTCATGTGCTTCTTATTGTCACCAAGACATTTTAATATATTTGAGAGAATGCCCTGAAAAATAAAGAGATACGAATCAATATGTACTATATAGTATATACAAATATACAAACAAATGCAAGCGAAGCATCAACCTTGCATGACTTCTCAACTGCTGGCCCCATAGAAGATGCAACCGCACCAACTGTAGATAGAGTTGACATGATAATATTCTTATTGCTGTCATACAACCGGCACCTAAGGGCACCAAACAGCTCTCCTGCAGGAAGGTGTGAACAGAGAGTGGAAAGTCAAGACACAAACAAAGTAAAAATGCATTTCTATGCTTGTAGTTATTTTTCAAACAATGAAAGTGCTCACACGTTCAAGCATAGTTTGCAAGAAGGAGAAAGTTCGTGTGGGTGAGCACAGAGAGACAAAGGGTAATACCAGCGCCAGTAGGCTGAATGCGCTTGTTGGCCTCTTCTAAAATTTTATTTACACCTTCAATCGATTCCAACCTAATCTGAAACAAGAAACAGTAGAGTAAAGCAAAATCCAGCTTTCCCAAGATCAATTCTACATAGGATAATGTACAGAACCTTCCAATCTGAGCTTTCTAAACCCTTAAGCAAAGCAGGTGTAATCTTTCCACTTATGTCTTCACGTGGGAGACTATCTAACCCACCACCAGACACACATACAGAATCTGATGCCTTCACTGTCCTCTTCGGTATAGAGGATGTACCCTGCAAAAGAATGCAGGTTAACTACAAGTAACAATACACACAAGTAGAACAATGCTTAACTAAATCAAACCTCAAATGGGTTTTTTTCATATGCTGCATCAAGAGCACTTAGAAGAGCTGGCTTTAGATCTGATAAGAATCCCTTGATATCTGTCAAAAGGTAAGCCAAATTTTAGACATTGTGAGAAAGCACAGCCAAAACAAGTTATGCTCCAAGAATAGAAAAGTTACCCGGGCCAACAAATTTGTGTAGGACACCAATAAGTTTAATTGTCGCATTTCGTGTGGCAGCATTGGAATGCAACCCAACATCCTTACAAAAATCAATTACATCCTGTACAAAAACAGCATGCTTTATACGACATGAAATTATCTTCATCTTTGAGATAAAACTAGAGCACAATACTATGCCTTTATTAGGAATAAGAATTACATTATTAGGGGAAATATTACCTTGAGTTTCAGATGTGAAACACCAAAATCCTCAATTGCTGTGATCATCCACAACAAGCCTTCACTAAGAACTTTAGGATTTTTGTGCTCTTTCATGATCATAGTCAGCTAAAGAATATAAAAACCAAAAAATTATATCACATAAGATAAGTTGGTTTGGAAAAATAGGGAAATTAGGTGTTAGAAAGACCTAAATATAGTTGGAAAGAAATCAAAAAGATTGAAAGGAGTTCAAAATAAATATTACCCATCCCTAGTTTGGCTTTTTCAGGCTAGACGAACTTTGAGAGCAATTAAATAAAAATCTTATTGCATATTAATATGATGAAGCCACTCATGCACCGAGTTTTACACCATTGTAAGTCTCCTGCAAATACTGTCATTGTTCATTGTTTTTGCATGATAGAGTCAAACTTTGTGGTACGAGTGGTGCTAGTGTAGCAGGACTCATTGGAGTAATGCACATAACAAACATGGTCATAAGGTGCTTGGGTGGATTACAATTTTATGGAACTAAATACTATGGCAATCTAAAATTTTCTATTACCCTGCATGAACTATTTACTTTTTAACAAGAATTGTACCACTAATACTTTGCAACAAAAACCAACCCAGTAGAATACTATATATTGTATGGTTTGGGGAGGGTGTGTGTATGCGGTTCTTACCACTACTGTAAAGTAGAGCAACTTTGATAATGATAATACTAATAATATATTTAATGGCGAAAAATTATATTTCATTTTTTTATTTTGCAATGCTTACACTTAATTTTCCTTTAGTTGTCAAGTAATTCAAATTTATATGTTCTTCAATGAAAAAAGTCTAAATACAGAACTAAATTTATGATCGTATACACTCCCTTTGTCCCAAAATAAACTTCTCGCACTTTTTTTTGTTGTACCAAAATAAAGTCCCCTTTCCATTTGAAGAATGAAATGGGTGGTCCACAATAACTTTCTTTTACAACAATCTCGACTTAACAGTTTTACTTTTTTTAAACTCTGTGAAAAGTCAAGTATGAACTTTAATTTGGGATAGGAGTTTATGATTAATAAGCACATGCTAATTAATTTCATTGAATTATAGTCGAATGAAATAAAATGGAAAAAGTAAAATGGCTCTTAAACTGTGTGCGCTTCTTTTAAAAGTGAAATAGAAGTTAGTCAATGCAACTCTCGACACTCATCATGGGTCACTGGAAACAGAGGCTATATGTTTCAAACATATGGGTTAGGCTTGCGTACATCTGGTCCCCTCTTTACCCCCGCAATGGGCGGGAGCATTTGAGGCACTGAGGTAATGTTGTTATTGTAAATAATTTTTTTTCATACTGTGCTGGAAACAGCTGAAAGAAATTGGTAGTATGGAGTAGGAGCTTGAGAGAGTGGAGTTTAAATTCCAAATTAAAAGAATAGGGCCTGAGAATTATTTTGGATTAAAGAAACACTAACTTACCCTCTCAAAAATAAATCTTGGGCCAACAGCTTCACAGAAAGTAGTGAGGCATTTCATGGATTGAGCATGTGTCTTGATGTCAGCAACTCTTTCAGAGATACCTGCAAGCAAAGAATGCAAAACCATGAGATAAGGAAACACAACAAAATGATATACTCGGGCTCGGCTCTGCACCATGAACCGTTACATGTCTTGCCGAACACACCCTTAGGCCGAACCCATCCCCACCTAGCCCACTATATTTATTAAATACTTCATCAACATACCATATAAAATCGATTTTGGAATAGCAAGAGCATGACAAATACTCTTCAAAGTTTCCTAGTTTATTTTCATCTGTAATAGTAATGTTTCCCCCTTTCCCCTATATATATTTTGGCCATATGGCCAATGTAAGAAACATGTTGAAATGAAGTTTAAATCAAGTTAATACTCTTTGAGTGTTTTCTCCGAAAAAGTGTGATGCTTGTTCAAACAAATTCCTAATTTCTATTTTAATAGTTGTCTTCAGTTGAGTGTTAGGTTCTGGTTATTTAATTAGGAGTGATTCTTAACTAAATTCTAGAATTGACCCTAAGCGAGATGTGAGTGCATAATATCTCGTATTCGAGCTATGATTATCTCTTACAAAAAAACAAAAAATTACTAACTCCCTGCCTCGTTTCTCAACATCCCCTACCTTCTGGTATAACACAAAAGTAGAGCAGTTCAGTTAAAAAGGGACATAGCAAAGAGAAAAGGTTTTAAATTGACCTTGAAGGCAAAGTATAACATACTTTTTAGGGAACTTTGATGTTGTTGAAGATATATGAGAAATAACATCAATAATGTGCTGCTGGACCTGCGGTTTAAGCAGTAGCAGTGAAAGCATATGTATTAGACCACAACTAGAGAGCCAAAAGGTGCTACTTTGGTATGCAGAAACTTAGTCAGAATGGAACCCAAAAAGTTTTATATCTGCTTTGGTGTTTCGTATATCCTTTGTCTAGAAATAATGATTCCTTAAAGATTACCATAGAAACAATTATTCCTTGAAGAATGCCAACTAAATGTGCATCCTTCTTTCTTTTGCTACATACAGTACATAGAGGGATCACCACAACAACTATGAAATGGCTGTATTTATCATATTTTCAAAGGAATATTAATCAATATGTTGACATTCCAATGCACAATAGAGGCAAGTTTTTCACTGAAAAAGCTAGAAATGGTATACATGCACATTCTTTTCATTCCATCCAGGGACAACAGATAAAAATCGAATCAAAATCTCTACTGATGGGTCAAGTTCTTGAAGTGCCATAACCTGCCCTTTAAACGACAGGATAGCTGCAAAGACGAGAAGTTGACAATACAGAAAAATATAAATTGAGAAAATGTAGTGCTGAGAGTTTAATTTTGGTGAGGCGCATAAGGCCGTAAGGGAACCTATTTTGTGACTAGGATGGAAAGAGGACATAGAAAGGCTTGTACAACAACAAACAGAGTAAAATCCCACCAAAGTAGGGTCTGGGTGGGTGTGTGTATGCAGACCTTTTCCCTACTCGAGTGTAGAGAGGTTGTTTCCAGGAAATGTGTTTATATCATTATATGTGAATATGTGATAATGACAGAAATTGGAATTATCTTACGACCTTCAACCCTCTCTTTCCATGCTGCACTCTTCAACATGGAAATTGTGTCTGGCTGTATAAGGGAACCTATTCTGCTCTCGATCTGTTCGAGACTCATATCTTCTGGCTGTGGTAAAAAAGTTTAAAAATAACAGTGAGAAACTAACGCAAGAAAACAGTTGGGTGCACATCAAGGTGTAAAAATAACAGTGAGAAACTAACGCAAGAAAACACAATTTTCTTGCCTCTACATCTTCAACATCCACAGACTTGGACAGTTTCAACTGCCCGCCTCCGTTCCCTTTTTTGGCAGCTCCAGGTTTTGCAGGCACTACTTTCTTATTGATGGGCTAAAATAAAAAAAAAATAGATTTCACTAGCCCAAAGCTATTTTCCACTAGATTTGAAACAAATAAAAAAAACAAAATTATCCGCTAAAATAAGTAAAACTTACAGCAGCCTGAACAGCTTTTTTCCCATTAAGCATACTAGTAGCTGACCTCCTAACAAATGATCCATCTGCTGCCTACAAATACAAACAGAGACATTGGTGATTGGCTTTGGCCTGAAAAGCCTAGATTTAAACCAGCTGATCAAGTTGTGCCCAACAACCTATCAGCCTGTCACAAGGTAAAAGAGCCGTCTAGATGCTAAGTCATCAAACTGTATTGAAGGATAGAACTAAATTTCAGAAAAAAAGAAGTGACAAGCATCCACATGACTTAAATTATTACTGTTCATCCATTCTCCACACGTGGAAAAAATAAAATGATTTGTTGTGTACTTATATCCCAGAAAAGGATTGACGTTTCTCAAGACACTCTTAACAATATACTCCATACGATTCTCATGTTAAAAAGATAGAACATGTTAAAACTAACAGAATGGACAACACATTAGGCAAAAAAGATATTTACCGTGGAGGAAGGTACAATTGCTCCAGAGGATGGCACTGCAACTGCGTTAATCATTTGATTAGGTATGTGAGGTATAATTAAAGAGAAGATGCGTCTTTGCAAGAAAGAAGAACTCAAATAGTTTTATCTTGTTGAAAATAAGATTAATTTAAAGCCAGAGCTACCATCAGATTCACTAGCCCCAGCAATCATTTCAGAAAGCTTCTTCCTTCTGACATCATCGAGTTTTTCAATTGATTTTTCTAAAGGTCGCATGCCAACCAACTACAAAATAAATCAGGTAAAAAGCACAATCTCACTGCATTGTGGAAGTAAAAAGATGGATAAATTACGAACAGTAAGTCGGTAACAAACTCTTCTCAGAATAATACCTTAGCAATAGCTGACAAAGCTGAAAATGCAGCATCTCTAACCTCTGGTGTTCCATCACTCAGGCACTGCATGAGCAAAATTTCATAATTATAACAAAAATAGATGCCATTAACAAATAATTCACTCATTACATATATGGAGTATAAACAAAGAAAAACTAAATTCTTTATTTTTAATCGGGTGCATTGCAGTCTCTAAATGAAATAGTGAAGGACTGTTTCAAATTTTAGTCAACAGCATTAGAATTAAACAGTTTATGTGCTGTGCATAAAAGTAAAGCTTTGCGCCATTTGGCCCTTGTTAGGGACCAAATCTAGAACAGTCTTTGGTTTGATTTGAATTCTGAATATCCGGTGTGATCAAAACAATAGTTGACTAGATTTGGAGTGGGATCCTATTAAGATATATTCCCACTCCCCAAATCCTAGTTGCGAGACCTTACTGATTTTTTCTAGTATTACATAATAATGTCAAAAGGGATGTGAAAATGTATTTTTTTAAAATACTGCAACCGTTCCAAAATAGATGTTATTGTTCCAACAACGTGCAAAATCCCATCACTTTTAAAATCCTTTTTATGAAATATTGGTATATGAAAGAAAAGTACTCCCTCTGTCCTAAAACTATCTTCTCACCATTTCTTTCCGGGCAATCCAAAAATTATCTTCCCATTTCAATAAATAGTAAATAAATGAGTGGTAAAAGTCATGTTTGCCCTTAGATTCTATTACTCTGTATTTCTCAATCGGCCCTTCCTCAACATTTTCTCTCCCACTCTATTCCTCTTCTATTTCTCTCAAATTTTGTCTCCTCTATAATTCTCTCTCACTCTTCATCTTCCCCAATTCTTTCCATTCTCCCTTCACCTCTTCCTCATATTTGATGGGTGATGTGACAAGGGTGGCTCTCCCAATTATTTGAAAGATCCAAGCTAAGTGAGCTCAAAAAATGATTGATGACCCCCAATGATGATTGATGAGCGCACTCCAGCAATGTCCTTGCGGTAAATCTCAAAATTGGCCTCTGTCACAGATCTCATTTGTGTTGGAATCAATTGATCCAAAAGAAAATCCACCATGATTGGTCAACAAGAATTTAGGGTATGGAGTTTAGATATATGGTGCATATATATGGATTGGATTATTTGGAAATGAAACCAGATTCAAATTGGAAGATATTCTTCCGAAACCACATTCAGATTGGTGGATATTAATCGGATGGAGTAGAAAGGGTATTTTTGGAAAGTCAACTCCATTTTTACACACCACTAAAAATAAAGCCTGGTCAAAGCAGGAAATTAGTTTTAGGACAGTGTAAGTAGAAATCATCAAAAGTACTAAAATACAAAAGGTGACAAGAATACTTTAATTTATCAAATGAACAATGAAAAGATACAAAAAAACAAAATGAATCTCTTGGCCCCCTTGGCATGACTCCACATGAAAAATGAACACTGTTTTGGAAAATGATTTTAAATCCATAATCTAGTTTTACATGTCTTGGAAACGGCCTCTCTACTTTCAAGCATGACTAAGGTCTACATACACACTCTCTCCCCATACCTTTTATGATTTTGTCAGATTGCTGTTGTAATCTAGTTTTACATGTCAACAAAGCATGAGAAGGTGCCACAATACATAAACTTATATCAGAAGTCATAAAAGTGCTAAATGCAATAAATATAAAAGATATATATTACTCCCTCCGCCCAGTATTAAAGTACCCATTTTGACTTTTGTTCATTTTCATGGGAAGTTGGCTATGGTGCAATTTGATTAAAATGCCCTTCATGTCCTTCCTTTGTCAGTCTCGCCGAACACAGCCCCCAACCACTACCGCTGCCCCTTTGTCGCCCCCAGCCCCACCACCGCCTCTTGCGCCGACCATCTTTGCCAGCCCCCTTCGCCATCGCCCCACCACCACCGCTTACCCCAGCTTCGCCCGAGCCCCC